GCCGAGGCCAGGATGTGCGAGAGCGTGCCGAAGCGATGGAACAACATGGCGGTGAACTGGATCACCAGGATGAGCGCGAAGAAGAACACGAACACCAGACCGATGGGCTCCAGCTGGAGGTACTCCTTGGAGATGAGCACCTGCGGCAGAGTCGGACGCGTGTTGGGGAAGGTCGGTTCGGGAGGGCCGGGGCACCCTGGGGGCGCGCGGGGCGAGCCGCGAGCCAGCCCGCGGAGGGGGTGGGGCCCGAGACTCGCCCCGGCCCGCTCTAGCGAGCGCGCACTGCAAGCGGCCGCCTGCAGCGTAGGCAGCGAGCAGCGAGCGGGCGCACGGCTGCTCTGCGCTTGCCTACCTCACAGGCGGCGACCCCTACTCGACGCTTCAAGCGTCTTTTTATTAATAACGAAATATACATTTGGTGAGTTTTTCTGTTTTTTTTTCTTTTAAAGAAAAAGACTGTAGGTTGTTTGCAGTGCGCTCTCGATCCTCTGGTCTCAGACTGTACATGTACAAGGGTAGTCTGTACTGATCACTGCTGCCAAAGGAGGAGAGTAAAGTTCCACTAGTGACAGCAAAACACATACAGCATATTTGTTTTTAAAAGGAGTCAACTCCACGACTTTGGAAATCTACTTTGAAATGAGTTGGCGAAATGGACCCACACAAAAAGTCCATAAATCTTCATCGATGGCAGCAGTGATCACGTAGGACTGAACCGCGGACCAGCGCTGCCAGCCCCGAGACGCGGAGGGTGGCAGCACCCGCCATGCGAGCGCACGCATGCAACACAAGAGTAGCGAAGGGTGAGCGGAAGGAGCCGGGAAAAGCAAAGCAAAACTGGATGCTTTCCTTTCGATTATTTATCAGTTGTTGGGGTTTTAGCACACAAAGAGCAGAGCGGTACAGGCTCTGGCTTATTTCTCTTTGGGATGATCTTTCTAAGCCAGCCTTCCAGGAAGGATCCCAAACACATGGAGGAAACGTTCTCGCTCTACATATTCAAACTGCGTGACATCCGATCACCAAAAGGTGTGTGATGAAAGTAATACAAACACGCCAGAGCATGCAACAATGAACGCACAGAGAAGAGTGGGCGAATATAAAAAGTTGTCAAAGATGTTGTCACATACTTTGTGGTCTGCGACTTTTTATACACGGCTTTCAGTGATTGAATATGTCACACACTTGTAGAACGGACGTAAGCGACACGGGGTAAGCGAATGGTTTAATCGGCCCCGCACAACAGTCACCACACACACACAAAGAACGGATTATTACATTCTGGGAGGGCTGCATTAGCACATGCGAATGCATGCGGAGAGTCAAAGAAAGGGGGGTAACCTGTTAAAATAAAAATTAAATGTTGGGGTAAAATTGAGGCGTCCTTCTGTCGTTTCGGCTGTGAGCACAATTTGTTTCAACAGTGCACGACGTGTGCGCTCTATTTGTGCGGAAAATTAATCATTGCAAACAATTCTAACATTTGCACAGCACTTTAAAATAAAACGGCATTAGGGGTATATGGTTTTTAAGAACAAATTCTGACGTGCTTCAAAGTTAGGATTATTTGCCATGATATGTGTAATACACCTGTCAATCAACCTGGATAATGTGATAAAATACAATTTACATTGTTATAAGGGAATATTTAACTACGGCTGGGGCACCTGAAAATAACACTATCCTGCAAGGGGGATTAGCTGCGATGACAATATTTCTACCCAGCAACATAGAGCTGGGTATTAAGTGGGCTGAAAAGACGAGGTCTGTGTCAATGAGGATGTGATATGCAATTTGAATGGTAATGATTTAGTCGGGTCGGGTTTGCAAACAATTCCGCCTATTCAAGGGTTGGAATAGCAAACTAATGCTTCTAGCCTTCCTCTCTTAGCTTCCCGCGTGTGAAGCGGTCGACCCATCTGCGTTGTTACTGATCAGTACGGATTTCCATCGTCAGTCATCATACAGAAAGGACTTTTATGTACAGAGGACATTTCTGTCACCTGCCACCGTTGCAGAGGGAGACTCAATGCAAGAGAGGAGATGTGCAGACACAAGATAGGGAAGAGAAAAGGAGGTTGCGAAGCCTCAGAGCAGGAGATGCAATGCGCTTCAACTGCTCACAAATATTTCTCTTAGAGACTTCCACCACGACGCGGCCTCCGCAAGCAGACAGACGCAAAGAAGAAGAAAAAGGATAAAACAAACGTATAGGTCAGTCACGAGTTGGAGAGATAAGGAGAGAGATAGGGTGGCAAAAGTGCAGCCAGGTTAGGAAGTGAAACACAGAGACAGAAATTCGTATTTATAACAGATTGAGAAAACGGATCGATAGATACACAAGAAGAAGTCGACTGGTATACAGAAGGTATATAGAAAGAGATGCAGATAGGGGAAGTAGTGAGTGGCAGGCAGAGAAGTCCGAGCCAGACAAGCCGACCAACGAACCGACCGTCGCTCGCGGAGCGGGGCTGAGCAACGGCGGCGGGCACTAGCAGGCCTCGGTGGTGCTGGGGCCGACACGGCAACGGAACCGCGGACTACGGCGTGCGAGAGAGGCGAACGGCTGCTCGTCGCGCGTCCGAGCGGGTGCGAGAGAGACGGTCATTCATCCCTCCCGCACTCACGCGAACGCTGTGTGACAAAAAGGGGAAAACTACCCTCGCACTGTCCCGTAGTCCGTATCCGAGTTGAAAAGGAGGCGTCCAAGACTCACGTCACTCTACTGGGATATTTAACGGCTTACGCAGTGGTAGGTGAAACCACCAATTTAGCTTTTGTTTTTGAATCCCCCTTTTAAATAGGGTACCAAAGTTTTTTTTTACAACAACAAAACAAAAAGGTAAAATAACTATGTGAAAAAGGGGCAATGACGTGGGTATTGGACGGTCCCTGTCGGCGCCCCCGCCCTCGAGGACCCGTAGCGGGTGGGTCCGGCGAGCGGCCAGGCTTTTACCTCTGACGTTTCCTCGATATAGGTGATATTCGTCTTGACGCCTAACGGCCAGTCAACGTGGAGCTGGTCCTTGTTGAGTTGGAGTAAGAACACGATAAGGACAAACAGAGCATTGAACATGAAGAAAGCGAAAACGGACTTGTTCCGGAGCTCGATCAGGTCGGCGGCGATCCTGGCCTGTAACAGAGACACACAACGCACGCCCGACACGCACACAGACACACACATTAGGCTGGGTGACACAAGGGCTGCGCGCTTCCTACGCTAGCTGCTCGGTCCGGGCGTGGCGTGGCGTGGCGGGGGTGTTCGTGTGGTGTGGGGTGGGGGTGCTAGCACTAACAGGGCATCGGAGGGAGCGCTTACCTCTTGGGTGGTCTCGTCATACGTAATGTTAGTCTTGACCCCCAAGGGCCACTTTACGTGGAGGAGGTCCTTATTCAGTTGGAGCAGGAACACGATGAGGACAAAGATAGCATTCACCATAAAGAAAGCAAACACGGACTTGTCTCGCAGTTCTTTAAGGTCGTGGGCGATCCTGGCCTGTAATCACATTTTGGCAGGTTCTCCTTTCACGTCGCGAAACACGGCGAAGAAAAAGTGTTATCATTCTCGGGGAAATTAAATGCCACGGTGAACTATAAATTAATTATTTCGTGAAGACAACAATATTTTTTTTTTACATAGAGTTTCCAATAAAGATTTTCCAAATACTATCTAGAAAATAAATGTGACTTTCCCGACGAAACTGAGGTTGGTTAGAGTTGTCTCTATACTACTAATTGATTTCAGATTAGAAGGTTTTGTTTAAAAAAAAATCGCGAGTGGCCAAATACTGAACAGCCCCCCCCCCCCTTTTCAAAGATTATAAATCCTCTGGCACTTCCCCCTCGAGGCACTATGTCCAACTGTGATTTCCTTTGTGGGAGAACCGAGCAGTTAAAACAACAAGCACGCAGAATTTAAGGTAATTTCAAAGTAATTTCAAAATAAGTTCAAACTGAAAAATAAAATTGTAAAGAAATGATTCAAGGAAGAGGCACGCGGCCGACAACTGACCCGCTCGTTCTTGTCGTCGTCGATGGGGTACAAGTACTTGGCCAGCAAGTCTTTCCAGAACTGCATCTCCGTGGTGGAGATGAAGTCCACCTCGCCCCTCTTTAGATCGCGGTCCTCGATCCAGAACGGGTCGACTAGGTCATCCCGCCTCTGCTTGCCCTCTGCAAACGTCAAACATCGGGCAGACTGTGAGTAACGTGATGTAGACTATGGTTGCGAGGTGTGACGTTTGGCTCTACCGACCTGTGGTGGCCGTGTCGCTGTCCGAGTCGTTGAGCTGGTCCTCCGCCGAGGGGTCCTCGGCCAGCGAGCCGAGGTGGTGGTCCCTGCTGCCCGCCGAGGCCGTGCGCCTGCGGCCGCCGTGCTGCCCCTGCGGGTCAACGGCCCTGCGAACACAAACGAGCACCATGGGTTGCCTGCCTGCCGGGGAGCGGACCGGACGCCTGCCACACCAGCTGTCCCGCTACTCACACTTCGATGGTCTGCAGCCGCTTGCCGAGCGAGTCGAGCGACTCGGCGATCCGGACGAGCTGCGCCTTGTCGTCCACCGACTTGGGGTGCGTGCAGAAGATGCACTTGAAGAGGCCGGCCAGCGAGATCTCGATGCCGCCCTCGTCCCCGTCCGCGCCGCCGCTGTTCACGTTCTGGAGGAAGCCGAGCAGCGACTTCTGGCGCGCCTTGCGCTTGGCCTCCTCCGCCTCCTTGCGCTCCTCCTCGAGTTCCTGGACAAAGAGGACGGCGATGTAGAGGTCTGCAAGAGGGGCGACGACGTGGCCGACACCAGGGGGTGTGATCGTACCCCTACACCCGTACACCTTACTACACCGAGGGGCGAGGCGAGGGGGGGATCACTACGAAAACTCATTGTACAACCCCCCAAAAAAGTCACTAAAAAGTCACAAAAAAGTCACTAAAAAGTCAAAAAAAAGTCACTTTTCGTAAAATCATTGTACACATTTCGCATGACTGATCACCCCCTCGCCGAGGGGTACTTCACTAGAAATACACGTGAACACCAATTATTCTGTTTTTCTCTTGATTTTTCTTCCTAATTTTCTGTGAGTATTCCTGTTTTTTTGTTCCTGAATTTTTAATTGATTTTTCCATAGTTTTTCCTGATTCTTTTCGAGGGTGTACACTGATTTTCTTTACGAAAGAAGCACCCCTCGCCTTCACCTCCCTGCCAGACATGCGGTCCAAACCTTGCGGGTTTTCTTTGTTGCGACCTCCCTCGTGCCCCACGTCACGTTGTTGAGGTTGAAGATCGCGTACACAACCATGAGCAGGTACATGCTGGGGACGAGCGAGTAGTACAGGAGGCCGCAGAAGACCGTGAGCAGCTCCATGGGGTGCAGGAGGGCCGTGAGGACGAACGAGGCCGCTATCGCGTAGAAGAAGAGCGAGGACGGCGAGTAGGCGCCGTCCTCCGCCATCTCCAAGAGGACGCCCACCAGGACGGCGAGCATGACCATGGCGTAGAAGAGGGTGAGTAGCTGGGCGATAGCGAGCTGCGTGCAAGGATGGTTAGTGAGCACCTCGCCAGACACCTCCACCGAGTGTTAGTCTTACCTGTCGTCCGAGATGCAGCTGGTGTCCCCCGCCACCCTCTACGAACACGTCACCACCGTCACCACCACCATCGCCGTGCAAAAGCCAAGCTCCGGCCTTACCTTCTTGGTCTTCTTGGCCACCACTTCTCGCGTACCCCACGAGACGACGTTGAGGTTGATGATGGAGTACAGGATGAGCAGCAGGTACATGGAGGGGATTGCCATGAGGTAGATGATGCCCGGCACCACGCACCAGAACTCTTGTGGATGGAGACAGGCTGCTATGAAGAACGAACTCGACAAAGCTATGAGGAAGATGGCCGACGGCGAGCCGATGCCGTCCTCGCCCAGCTGGAGGGCAGTACCCACGATCACAGCCATCATGACCATGGCATAGCCCGTGGAGAGCATCTGAGCAAATAGGAGCTGGGGGGCGAAGCGACGGTTAGAGACGACACGGGGACAGACACAGGACGGACAATCGCGAGGACGGACACGACAGTACGACGACACCACGCGCAACAAAGAACAGAACAATCCACATACCTGTATGTTGGCCTTGCACGTGAAGCAGACAAGCATGAAGAACATGATGGGGATGATGTTGTAGTAGAAGCTGGTCCAGTTGTCGATCTTGAAGGCGGCCACGAAGGCTCCCACCAACATGAGGAAGATGGTTCCGGGGCCGAGGATGGTGCCACCCATCAACATCATCTGGTAGGCGATGTAGGGCATGGAGATGTTGTCGTTGATCTTGATGGTCTTCTTGGCGTCCACGAGCAAGTCCATGATGTTGGCGATGGTGGAGGGCACCCAGCGACGACGCTGGTTGTAGAACTCGTTGAAGCCCTCGGGGCAGTGGGTGTAGGCGTCCGAGGCGGCCGAGTACTCGACCCGGTAGCCTCGCTGCAGCAGCAGGGTGCACAGCCATCGGTCCTCGCCCTGATCGTACTGCACGTAGTGGCGGGCCTCGTCCGAGCGGGTGGTGTACTTGCGCATCACGTTGTCGTCCATGAGCGACTTGCCTCGGAAGAGCGAGAAGCAGCCGGGACTACAGAGGACGCAGCCGATCATGTGCTCGGTGGCCTTCTGCAGCCAATGCCCGATGGCGTACTCGAACATCTGGTACCACACCATGGGGCCGGAGCCGACGGGGTGGATGCGACCGCACGCCGCGCCCAGGTTGCGGTTCTTCTTCATGAGATCGATGAGCAGCTGGACGGCGTGCGGCTGGAAGTCGATGTCGCCGTCGAGCGTGAGCAGGAACGTGTTCTCCGCCATGACCTCCTTGCGGTCCACCGAGATGGGCAGCTCCATGAGGCGGTGGCCCAGCAGGTAGTACATGTACATGACCTGGCTCCAGCGCTTACGGTGACGGATCTTGGACTTGTCCTTGAGGTGCGCGATCATCTTGGTCTTGCCCGGCAGGATCCACTCGAGGCGGCCGCCGTACGGGGTCGGGTACTTCTTGGGCGGGCGCATGCGGATGTTGGTCTCGTGGACGTGCGAGGCCGCCTCGTCCATGATGGTCACCAGCAGCTTGACGAACCGGTTGCACACGCTCCAGTCGTCGTTGACGTCGCTGATCTCGAACGCGTCGTCGAAGAAGATGTGCGCTGCGGGAGGGAAAATGGATTAGTTCAAGAAACGACGACGTCGTGGGCTTTAGGGGGATCCAAATATTATGGCATCCCAAATGAATCAGGACGGTCAGTCACGTCCACGGGGACCCCAAGACATTTGTACCCCTTGTGGGTAAAAATATCATAGGGCTTCAATGGACTTCACTGACTGTCCTGACCCATTTGACACCCCATGATAATTGGACCCCCAAAAGTCCAGGAGGGTCGTCCAGGGCTCACAGGCGCAGACGGAGGCACTCACTCTCGAACTCGTAGTAGTCGGGGTCCACGACGCGCAGGTACTTCTGGGCGACGCGCCGCGCGCACTGGTCCTCGTCCATGCGCAGGATGGACTTGAGCATCTC